CTAATGTACACCTAAACTAGGATAAAGTCAACTAATTTTATTTTCAATACATGCAATGATATATGCATGTAATGAGAAAAATTTAAACTTTTCATCATTCTCATATACTTTACTGGTAAAAATATTCCTGCACCCACTAGGCCAGGCCACTAGCTACATGTATTTGTTTTTTGATTGACGCACTAAAGCTTTGTCATTTTTATAAATGAACACAATAGAGTTTAAAGATTTCCCTGTCACATCCTGAATGTAAACTTTAATCTGTGAATATCACGCTATATCTTCGTGCTTAGATCGATCTGACAGATACGTGTCAGCTTTTTAATTTTGTCAAGAACATCAAATGAACTTTCCTTAAGAGCAAATTAAATGAATATAAGCATATCAAAGAAACTTTTACCAGTAATCTAGAAAACTTAATTAATGTTCCAGCTTTGGCCATTTTACTGCACACCCTGTGGAAGATCCTGGATTGGATAGTCAACCGTGACAACGCTAACTTCTAGCAACGTGCCTCGCCTGACAGAGCGAGTTCACAACCGGAAATAAGATGAGCACGGTACTAAAGAGAAAATTGAACAGGCGAATTTGCATTTTCCGAAAAAAAAAAACGTCTTGCACAATCTCATTACCGATTACTTGTCTGATAAGAACTTGCATTGAATTCCGTGTTAATAAAAAATGTTAATACAGCTCTAATTGATTCTTCAATTTCAACAATCTTGAATTTCATTCCTTATATTATATTTAATTAAAAAAAAAATTATGATTGGTTATTTGCAAAAGCATAACATTGTTTGTGTTGTAACTTTACACATTAGTCACGTTATCCTATCTCTTATTCTACTGATTCTTCACACAAATATTCTGAGGTTGATACTGAACAAAATATTCGTAGGGAAAATTTTACTAAATATTGATGGAGGGGGGGGAGTTCTTGATTATTCTTCATAGGCGTATGAAGCCCCCCTTTCAATTTGCTTCTAACGCCTAAGCCTTAGGCTAAGGTCTCTATAGGGAAGTCGATGGCTTGTACGTGTTAGTGCTCTCCGCTCGTTGAGGGTTGGTCCGAATATCATAACGAAAAAAAAGGTTTTTCTGCAAATAAGGCATTAAGTAGCGGGAAAATCCGTCATTTCAGTGTATAAATAATGGATCAACAATAAGTATGAAAAATTGTATTTGTTGACAAGGTCATTGTATCAACCATAGAACTTAAGAAATGATGACTTTAAACGAGACTGCTGATATTCTCGCTTCCTTAACTTGTTTGTTAATAATTTACCTCGTTTTAGAAATTAATTATTCATGCGTAGAGCATCTACTCTTGCGAACTGAGATATATAACTCCGAATATATGCAGGTGATGAAGGTATGTTGCTGCACAAGTAAGGAAGTTGACGATAGAAAAGTTAAAGTCATCACGTTTATATCATAGAGCTTGGTTGTTAGATCTACAGTAAATGTCGAGTTGAAGGCCACAGCAAGTGTTTTCTTCTTTTCATGCGTAAGATTTTGCAAAAATTCTGCTTCATATGAATAAAACATAGGTCTGCTAACAACGGGGCGCAATTGGTAGCCACGGGAATTGCAATAAATTGTTGTAAGACCAGCTGGTCTTTAAGGGGGCTCTCTACAACGTCATAACATGGCGTACTTCCGTAAAAACGCCATTTTGATCCCAAATGATCAGATTCAAATTCACTAAACACCGAAAAATCACTGAGTGTAACACAACATGCGATATTGTGGATGTAATGTACATTATATCACATCAATTAATACAGTGTATTGCCCAATACGTATCCTCTCTTTAAAAATGAATTGTTTGTCAATTTAATCAATTTTTACTTATTCAATTATTAAATAAAACATTTACAAACTTATTAGAATAAGATTTTTAGATGAGAAAAAAATGATATAAAACATGGCTTGTCCATATGCTAATTCATGATCATTATGTGTCAAAACGCCATACACTCAGAAATTTTTTTCTCCAATAAGCATATATGCTTTTCAGCAAAATATATCCCCCAAAAATGCAAATTTGATAAGATAAGACATATTCATGTATTATCTTCCCATCGACTAGAGGATACTCTGTTCTCGATTTGTATACACCCGAATGAATGGTTATACCCGGTGAAATTTCGCATGACCCAAACGTTAGCTGCAATAATGTAGCCCTCTCCGATTTTTTTTTATCTGTTATTTTCTGGAGAGGGCTACAATTCCACAGCATCTCCGTAATGGTGCAAAAATATTTTGTACATACTGGCGACTGCAGGCAGAATAAATTGTTTTTATAATCAACTTACTTCTAATAAGACGAAATTTTTATTCACTGTCGACATCAAAGCTCGTTAAACGCGAAAACCATGTAAAATAAATCTGTGCATTTACTTCTGCAGCCATGACAGTTCACGCGTGGCGTAGTGAGACTTGCGCTTCAAATTTAGAACAACTCAGTAAAGCAAATGTCGATGTTTATAAATAATTGTGATGAATAGTAACACTAAACATCGATAAATAAAATCATTCCATGTTTCATTTTTTTGTAAACACCGATATTTAAGCTTAAAATAAGGTAATTCCAAAGAAATCCGCTCCCTATAGATCCTTAATCTCATTGGCTGTCCCGAAATAAAATCTGTCAAGGTCAGTAAACATGGCGGATAAATTTAAGTTGTGATGTTGACATACACGAAAAATACTGATATATCATAATATGGATTGTTCTGTATATTTTTGGATCGATTTATGTCTGGGATAACTACATTTTGGAAGTCCAGGTAAGACATATAAATGAAATAGCCGTTTACTAACAATTTAAGCCGAAATCCGTGCGGGAGCGAATCGCTCCCGCTCTGTTCCATTACGGAGATCCTAAGGAGTTGTAGCCCTCTCCCAAAAAAAAAAAGAAAAAAAAAAAAAGGGGGAGAGGGCTACATTATTGCAGCTACCCAAACGTTTGATCACCATTGATTGTCAGCTGTTTACAAGTATGGGAAACGTGCAGGTTTTTGACGAAGTGTGCATTTGGTTATAGGAGTTTCTTTTACCGCTTTTGGCCATTTACCATCTTAACTTGTTTTGTTATATATAGCACTGGATAACACATGCAAGTTGGATAAAACGGTAAGTAAATCTACCTTTCTCAATACCATGAATTCACTAAATACATGTCTAAATTGTCATTGACTGGAAACGCGATGATTTTCGCTTAAACTCATTGAAAAACAATACATGTACAATACGAACTTCTTTCAATGTCCTTGCGTGACATTTAATTGTTTAATACTTGTGCCAATCTCTACCCAGAGTTGTCGGAACGATAACTCTGGGTAGAGATTGTACTTGTGCAAGTAGAGTTTATTTGAAGTTTATATAAAAAAAACAGTACCAAGATATTTGAGTCCACTCTTAAAGCGGATCTCTCACACCTGAATTTTTGTGATGTTTATAAATTTTTGACAGTTTTTCAATTTCTTTTTTTCATTGTTTTTACCCTTTGATATTATATATCTTTTCAGATATTGAAGAGGATCCAACCAGCTACTCTCAAGGAAATGCACAGGCACCTGAAGTATGGATAATACCCCCCCCCCCTTTTTTTTAATGAAAAAATGTAAGAGTGTATAAAACCTCGAAAATATAAAATTTCCCCGTCAAACACATCTATATGTCATTGAAAGGTATTATACACGCTTACATTTTTTTTCATTAAAAAAAAGGGGGGGGGGTATTATCCATACTTCAGGTGCCTGTGGGAAATGCTGTTTTAGTTTTTCTTTTGTCTATTTTTGTAAATTTAAATAAAAATTATGTTGATTTTATTTTTATCTTTGTTGGTTATCATTTCAGTATTTTATAACACTAAACTTTGAAGAGAAATTTAAAGCACCGTGTTTTTAAAAATATAGATAGGAGGGATTTTAACAAAATAAATACAATGTTTCAAATATTTCTAAAAAATAAATTGAAGTACTTTGGAACCGTATTTTATCGGATATGGGGCCTATTATTAGAAACAAATGCATGCAACAAAAATCAGTTATACTTTACAGGTGTAGAGATCCTCCTTAAAAACAACATCTTAGATATTCTCAGTTATAGAAACTCAGGCATCTTTTTGATGTCAACTTCAGAGTACTTGTGTAAAATCAGAATGTTTTTAACAAAATAGTTTTGCAAATGACCAATGACAAGGTAAGTAAATGTACGAGTTCCACTATTATTGAAAAAGCAGCTGTCAATTATATCAAAAAGCCTGGACTTTAATTTATCGTGAGGAATGGCTGTGCATAAAGTTGAAAAGTCGTAAGTTTTTAGGCTGTTGATTTTGGTAAAATCTTGTGATTTCAAACTGTCCAAAAGTTCCTTTGAATTAGTGTAGATATAATTGAGATATGATTATGTAGATCTATATGATTACAATGTATATCTAAATTAACTTGTTTTTAAATACCGAATTCAAAGAGAGGCGATCTCTAAAACTTGACACCATCTGTGCTATCTGATGATCAGAATGCAGTGATTTTTGTTGAATGAAATTAAAATTCATGATTTTAACTTAAGTTACATGCAATTATATATAAAATATTTATATACTAATGATTTACTTTTTAAAAAGATTGAATCAATTAAATATTCTTACTATGAGCTTTTAAAAATAAATGCTTTAAACATTTGGCCGTTTAAATATATGTGATATTATGCGACATTTCAAATAAAAAAATTATGTAGCTTTTATTTAAAAAAAAAATGAAAATTTTCTGTATTGAATGAAAAGAATTATATATATAAACATGATATATCACAAATGTGTCGTCCATACATATAATTTGGAGAAAAAAATGGAAAAGTTTGGTATTATGAAAAAATAATTATAAAACAAATGTTTTGCAGGCATTGTACATGTTGTATTTTTACTGTAACTTGCAAAAGGGGAGCAATGCCTTGTTTACCTGTTCACTTCTTTATTTAGAATTTGTGACGTGATGATGCGCATGCGTGAACACACCTGTCTCAGGTAAAGCGGAAGCTTGTGACTCATTTTTTTTTAACTGAAAGTTGGAATTTCAACACATTCAACACTCCAGAGGAAGGGATCAGTAATGTGAAGGTATTTATTTGTCTTATATTCTGTTAAATATGGTCAAACTTAATGTTCTGACTCGCAAACCCAACAGGTAACCGTAGGAGAGTGAACGACGTATACATTTATGCACTGTTTATTGATAAGCGGTTGATCACAAAGTAATGGATATGTGATGAAAAGATTGACAGCCGAAACGGAATATACATGTACCTTAGCCATAAAAAGTAAATACATTATTGCAGAGTAATAAACTAATTGCTTAATTAGCGGTATTACAAAGAATTTCCTAGCATGTTTCTTGTGATCTTGAGACTGTATATGCACCTTTTCTACCTGTCTTTTTTACCTGTCTGAATATTCATTTCCGTTATAACATAAAACAATGTCAGTGTTACTGGAGCTAGATGTGTATGGTAAGTAATGATCTAAAAAAGCCAAATAGTATTTAGGATTTCTAGGGGTTTGAATTTTAGTACAGCATGTTTAAGATAAAATTTTAAAATCAAAATAGGAAAAAAAGGGAGAAAATATTTAATATTTCTTTATTAAATACCAGTATATTTGGAATACAATTCTTTTAGGGATGATATGGATTACCCTTGAAATTCTAAGGAAATTAATTAATACATTGTTTATATATTGCTTTCAAAAAGCATCCCTTTTTAATCGGCATATTTTGAATTTAGGAAATCAATTCAAAGTTTTAAACTTCATCTTCCTTTTTGTTTTTCAATCTCATTTTAATTTTTTTCTTCTAATTTCAGGGTTGAGGTTGCACAAACAAGAAAACATGAGTGCATTTCCTGGATCCACAACTCCGAATATCGGGCCGGAGTACTATGAAAGCTCATCTAAATGGTCAAAAGAAATCCTTGTGACAAAAGATCCTGTGTTTGTGAACCGCACAGTGATAAACGGACACTACATTGGAAGAAAACCCCATAATTATCTCCCCTTGGCTATCATTGCCTCCATCCTTAACCCTCTCATTGGACCCATTGCCATTGTCTTTGCCAGTAAGTTCATTAATTACAATTTTTCTTCTTTTTTATCTTACGTTTTTAATGACATGAGTTTAAAGGTCGCATGTTAATTTTGCCCCAAAAAGTATTTGTGACGTAATGGAAGGTTAACCTTCTATAATGTTAATGCATTCATCATATTACAACAAATTGCGTCAATGTCTTTAAATTCATGTAATGTTTGACAGAGCATTTGTGATGTAATGTTAAATCTAATTGCATTTGATGTTTGATTCATTTATTCTCATGTTTTCCTCATACAAGCTTTTTATCCATCCTATTCAGTATGATAAAATTATAAATGCAGGTAAATACTTTTAATATTGTCTTTAACAAGGAACTTTTTTTTGGGGGGGGGGGTCTAATCGTTTCATTTTGTATCCCCCCTTTCCCCTCCAAAATTTGTATGAAGGCATACAACCTTTAAAACTTCGTTCTACAAACCAGTGACTAAATATTGTATTTTTTTTTCTTTAGTTATGTCCACTCGTTCTTACTATGATGGTGACATGAAATATGCGGAGAAGTGGGCCGATTACGCATTCATGATGTCAATGGCCACACTGGGCATTACGATCATTCTGGCAGTGGCCATTGGTTTCACCCTCAGCAATGTCCAGACAAAGGGTGGACATGCACCATGACATAAATAGATCTGAGAGACAAAAAAGACCATACATGGACAAATTTTAGTGTATCAGTGAGCATTACTATTCGGGAAAGGACATGTGAATATTCATGGGATCTTATAGCCTTTTTAACACTGGAAATAGAAAATATGAAGTTACAATTCTATTTTCTTTTTAATGACACAATTATCATGCGGATGAACCTAATAATTGTTCAAAGTTTTTTTTAACAATAATTCTTCAACATTTGCTTTGGTGAAAGTATTAAGTTTTATTCAGTGCCCTTTTATGCAATTTGTGAATAAAATAATGACTTGTATCTATAATCAGGAACTCAAATTCAATTTTTAAAAAAGTGACCTTTGAACTTCCTTAAACTACAGCATTTTAAGCTACTGACATTTGTATGATTGATAAACAGTGATGATCAATTGCCATTCCATGTGGTTAGATATCATAAACATGTGTACCTCTTGTTTTTACCCTTGAATTTTAGAATATCTTACACAAATATGTATAATGATTGTATAATATGGCCATTAAGACATATTTTATCATAATAGACATTTTGTTTTACTTTCATTGATTATATACATGTATATATAAATGATTCAGAATAAATCATTATAACTACTATATTTTCTTGTGTGTGTCTGAGCATCAATATTTGAAAAGCTTAAAAGTGAATGAATTAAACATGGACATCTACAAGTATGAAAATCATGGAGTTTCCAAATCTGTATATCAATTATCTACATGTATTCGACTCACTCTCTAGTTGTAGGTTATATCATAAATAATTCAAAAAATTACCATCTAATAAAGTGCTTTAAAAAAGTTCTTAAATTGTACTTTAAGCAACTTTTAATTAAAAGCTAGAGATTTCCAGGTGTGTTTTAAAACTTTCCCTCAGGTCAATCTTGTCTACCCTGTGTTTACATGAAATCAATGACCAAGACATAAAACTTGTACATGGTTCAATACCCATTCTGTCTGTTTCTTTATCAGAAGTATAGATAAAACTGAGAGTGAGCAGTTGATGGCATTCTATTCATTCTTCTTGAGATTTTATCTCAGTCTACATACAGATAGCTCCTTTGATCATAGGAATTTACATTGTTACAGCACTCTGATGGACAGAAATGTATAACAAGACAGGTTAAAATTTTCATATTTCAAACTTTTAATCTTAGTATTGTCATAATTAAACATACAAAAATCATTAAGTACCTGAATTATTTCTGCACCATAACATCAGATCTCTATCATACCATGTATATTAATGTAAATGTTTTGTCACTTTGTTTATATATTTCATGCATCTATTTTAAAAATGTAAAGAACTGTACAGTAGTACTGATAAATATGGAATACACTGAATATTTACACATACACTAATGAATTAAAAATTGCATACACGTTAAATAATTTCAGTTGATGATAAAAATGTACGATTATGTTATATTGCACTGTCATGGGAACAAACTACCAGAATATACATGTATAAATATTATGCACATGTCAAGTCTATTTGTTCCAAAAAGATTCCTTCTGTATCCTGTTTATGAAACTGTAGTTATCAAAATACAACACAATTCCACAAATTTAACAGTCCTTATCTAGAATTAAACACCCTTGTTCATATAAATTTAAACTTGCACTTGAAATATCCTAAACATCCATTCCTCATACAGTTATATATACATGCAAGCATATACCCGATACTCTTTACTCTCTAGAAATTAACTGGCATTAATATGGCTCATTTTGAATTGTTGTTACACTTATTACATGTATACCACACTGAGTACACAAAAGATAAATGTATATCAATTTGATACATAACTCTGCATGTACTTTAAAAATTGTATATTATCTAACATGCACTGGTTCTGTGTTAGAACTATTCTCCTTTCATCAATTATATATCATAATGTTTTCTAGTCCCCTATATCAGATACGATCATAGAAAACTCCTCCATGGAGAGATGTGCTGACAGGTATTTGTATCATGAAACATAAGTCAGATGGAACATTGTTTCTTGCGACCTTGACCTAGTTGTCTACTGCTGAGGCTTTTGTTTCTTGTGACCTTGACCTAGTTGTCTACTGCTGAGGCTTTATACACAGTGTGGTAGGCATTTCTCAGTAGAGCGTAGGGGAAGCAGGACTCCAACAGGTCCATAGTCAGATAAGGCGACTCCTGCACTATCTGTAAAAGAAAATTAATAGGCATGAGGAATTTCTTGGGACATAATTGTTTGGGTGTCGAACCATCACTTCTCAGTTGAGGTCATCAAAAGAAACACATTGGTACATGTACCAGTAAATAATGAATATGGCATTGGCATAGATCTACTGATTGCATACATATTTAAACAAGTCACACAAATATCAGCTGCATTAACATTTGTCAGGTATCTTACCAGATCCAGTAGTATATACACTGATTCTCTGTTTCTGACAGTCTCTTTGTCTTGTTCCTGGGACTGTCCTAATCGTAGCAAGCTTGATGAGGCAAGCTGTAATTGAAAATGTTCTTAAATATAAATTTTGCATAAATACCCAGATATCCAATAGTAAGTAATATTTTGGTATGTATTAAACCAATATTGCAAAAACAATGGTATAAGAATATTGTATCACTCAGAAGAAGCCTGATTGTTAGAGACTTACAGCTAGGAATTCCTGTAACCTGTCCGACACATCACCAGGTCCGTGGATGGTAAACAGAGCACCTGCTATCTGGTTCACAGCTTTAGCCAGACAGTGAGAGTTATTCAGATTACCTAGAGAGAAACCAGAATTATTAACTGCTAGGTCCATCACAAATACTTAAAGCATTTATTTAGCATTCAAAAGGGTTATTTATAAAATTACATTTTGATCTGTTGAAAGTTCATATGTAAAATGGGAATAAGAATATTGGCATGGACAATCTGTTGAATGTATCAGATATATTAACGTTATAACAGGTAATTTTCCAATACCTTCTAGGGAAGCCTTGTACACTGAGAAGTCTTTTTTGGCCAGTGTTGGAATGGACACGGCTACAAACACCATCAGTAGGCAGGCTAGCTCGTAATCACTCTCATTGGCCACTGGTCAAATAAACAACAGGGCTAAGCTTTAGTATGTAAATATAGCTCAATCACAGTCGCATCTATCTACTTAAATTGGTTAGTTTGCTATTAAAATTTATCTAACAATTTCTCTTAAAAATGACAACAAGTTAAAAAAAAAAATATATATATTAAACAAAAATATTTTTTAAAAAAAAAGGTTTTATAACAGATGGAAAGTTTTAAATACTGAACAGCATGAGAAAATAACAAAGTTCTGGGGGGAAAAAATCCTATGAGAATAGAAAAACAAAGATTAATTATATTTTATACTGAGTTAAATAAAATGAGATATCTTTGGGAGGAATGCCAAAAGTATTTGCACATGCATCAATATATATAGTCATGCAAAGACTCATACTTGCCAACTCACCCGATTTCGTCGGGTCACACCCGATTTTTCAACCCGTAACCCGATTATTTTTTATGACCCGGCGGGTCATGCTTATCACCCGATTTTTGCCAAACAACCCGAAAATCTCCCGATTTCCGGATTTGGTTCGTAAATTAGGTTGCACTTTTAACTTCCAGTTAAAACCCAAGCTTAGATCTACGCGAAAACAATGCCGATGGATTAATTATCAGTGCAGGTGTAAACAATTAACTGGGTGTTGTTTTGACAATTCAATGTCTGAAGTCAATTAAAATGGCTTCCGATAGAACTAGATCGTTATCAGGGCCAACAGGAACAAATTGAACCAAACACATGTCTCTGATTGAACCAAGAAAAAGAGAAACGATATTTATGCAAGTTACATATCAAGGAATCTTGGGGGAAAAAAACCTTTCATTCTAGATAAAATAAAGTGATCGAAGGCAGTGTAGGCCTAACTTCACATTTAAAACATATTGCAGTAGTTAATTAATTAAGAGAGAAGAAAAATAACTTCAAAACTGAAATTGGTATACTTTCAAATTTAGCAGAAACTGAAACATGTGAAAAGGCTTTTTTAAAAAAATGCACAATTACTTCTGAATCAGGTCAATATAAAAATACGAAACCTTCAATTCTCATTTTTAACATGTAAATTAAATCAAATTATATATGAATTTTTTGTCATAGTAAATTAAATCCTTTTTCAATAAAAAAAATTCTCAATACACAAATACTTTGTATATATATTATAAAATTTAATCATGGTAATTATGTCGTGAATGTCGTTACGCGTTATGACCAGATTTTTTACTTTCCAAATCTGGTCATGACCAGATTTTTACATGCTGGAGGTTGGCAAGTATGCAAAGACTCAGTTGCATTCAAATTGTGGTAAATATGTTATGAAGAACATTTCACATGGCATTCATATCATCAGAAAGAGGTACATGTACATAACAAACAAGGTCTTTTCAATAGAGTTTCATTAATAAATGTACATGTCTGTGAGGAATTTTGCAAACCTCTGAAATACATGTTCAATAATATACCGCTACACATCTTCCATATGATAAGCATATAAAAAGTTTTTTTTTCTGTCCTGAATAAAGAAATATGGTATGCTACACATTCTTTGGAAGAATACATAAAAAGGGAGATCTAAGAATTCAAAAGCTATTGAATTTTCAAGGGCTCGACATGTTTCCGACAAAGCTAGTAGATAGCGTTTTCAGACCTGGAATAATTTCTGTGTCACTAGACTGACTAGAGGTGGAAGTTCTGGGGGTGTCCTCTAAAACAAGATTTATCAACAACACAAATAATACATGTAGTATAGGAAACAAAAAAATGTTTTTCTTACATACCCAATAAGACTATGAACATGTTGCTATGTTTAACAACACATGAAAATGTATTTGTTCTTTTAGCAAGTCTTAGTTGAATGATTGTTAATTTCTGATTATGTTAGCAGAAATGAACATTTCCAATTAAGATCACTTATTAATTGATGTTATTTTGAAGTTCATGCTTCCATCACATGCTTTGTTGAGTTTAAGTTTCTTTACATCATCATCATCAAAGAAGGTATTTAAAAAATGCACCTGTTCATACAGTCATAAGAAATTTCATGAATTCAGATATGGGTTTACTTTTTTGTCTTCAAAGTACTCACTATACTCTTTGTTAGCTTCTGTTTGAATGTAAAATATTGATTTCTTTCAAATGATGGAAACCACAAAACAAAAATACCTGTCACCATTCCCATGACAACCCACAACAATAAAAAAAACTTTTCATGCTTCTCAACACCAGTCCATATAATATTTTAGTGTAAAGTGTTAAATTACCTCCCTTGACAACTATAACTTTTTTTGTTACAATTCTTCAACAGAGCCTATAATAAATTGCTCTCTGAACATTCAACCAGTCCCAACATAAAACAATGTAAATTCATTAAAATGTCCCATGCATCCACTGGAAATCCCTATTATTTATTATCTGATCAACATATCCTGCTGACTATAACTGTGATAAACGATTTTACTGGCCACTGCCAAATTCTGTTCCTTACCTTTCCCTTTACTATCTTTAGATTGTGTTGATTGTGATACTTTAAAATTAAATTAAATTAATAATAAAATACACTTTTTTATGAAGTAAACCAAAATCTCACTCATTAGAAATTCCACAAACAATATTGCAATATGGTTTCACATAAACACACTCTTTTAAATAAAAAGTGGCATGAAATGAACTATTTCACACAACATCAAATTAAATCTACATTAGCCACTGTAGGAAATCACACACAATACTATCTTCATCGGGGGGATAACCTACCGTTTTTCTGGGACCTCAGGGCACTGATGAGGAGGGGGTCAATATCACAAGAGAGTCCGGCGGCTGAGGCCATCTCATTGACCACCTACAGAACAAAGGGCAAAGTTAAATATAGGGGACAAAAATGGCACACAGCATCTTTCTCTTTATGTAATAATGCAACATCTTGGGATGTATTAATTTAGTTTTAATGTAAAAAAGAGGCGGATAAACTTTGCTAAACGGAATCCTTTCCAAATTCACAATGTACATGTACAATAACAAATGTGTGGTGTTAAGTGTATTCTAGGTTAAATCTACAGACTGTACTATAATGCTATAACTATAATGCAGCTGTCAATAGAATTCTTGAGAACAAACTATTTCATAAACTCTGTACTCTGAAGCCTATCTAAACTAATTCAAGCCACACACACATTCACACCAGGCAAAACAGGCAATCATTTCATATTCAATTCCAAGGTTTCTTACTGATAATTACGGTTCATCAAAATTATATACAGTCAAACCTTCTGTTATCTCAAACCCAAAGGGACAAAGGAAAACTTTTAGATTTCTTAGAATTCAAGATATCAAAGATAAAACACTTCAAAGAATAAATGATTTGAACTTCCAAATCACTTCAACATATCCATGGTATTCACGATACCAGTGTTTGAGATGCCAAAGTTCAACTGTATATGGGGACAGTACAAAAGGGTACACACTTTATGAAGACATATATTTATCATTTATCTTACATTTTATATAAAAATAATTTACTATATTTCAAACTTTAGTGGGTTAAGTTTTTGTGATAATTCTACAAACTATACACATGACAGCACATTGTGTATTAACACAACATATACTGAAAATTGCCATGAAAAAAGAATTTAAAAAAAATCAGAGTCTATTATAAATTTGAAAATACTCCTGTTTCATAAATAACTAGAACTGTCCAAACGTGACAAAATACCCCCCCTGGGTTTTTCAGAAGTAAGTTTTTCCATAATAAAGATATGTATCAAACATGAATTATGAAATCAGTGACCTTGAACTTATATTTTTACACACCCTTGGGTCATTTCTTTGTGTGAAATGACAACCTACCAAGTTTATCCATAAGAAAGAAATCGACCGGACACAAATTATGAATTTTTTCTTCCAATGACCTTGAATTTCCCAATGACCTTGGGTCAAGGTCATGACATACCGTTAGGTTATGGGTAATCTTTGTGTGAAATGAGAACCTACCAAGTTTATCCATAAAAAAGAGATGGACTGGAAACAAGTTATAGTAATATATGGGTCAAGGTCATGACAAAATCGTTTTGTGAAACAAAAGCCAAAACAAGAGATGACCTTGAACTTCCCCACATGACCTTGTTGACACACCCTTTCATGGGCAATCTTAGTGTGAATGAGAACCTGTTATGTGAAAAATGATGAAGTTCCCCAAATGACCTTGTCAAGGTCATGACACTACCTAAGGTCATGGGCAATCTTTGTGTGAAATGAGAACCTACCAAGTTTATTCATCTCACGAATTATGAAATGTTTCTTCCAGTGACCTTGAAGTTCCCCAAATGACCTTGGGTCAAAGTCATGACACACCCTTGGGTCATAATCTTTGTGTGGAATAATCTAATGTCCCTCTGTAAGAAAGATATGGACCGGACACGATTGCACAGACAGACGGACAGACAGAAATTACACTATATAATGTGGAACTATAATAAATATGATTTTTCTTTAAACCAAATTGATCATTTATTTTTTTTCAATTTCAATGTAAACAAGAATCAAGAATCACATTTTTCATAATGACACAGGAATAAGTTCACATTTATAATATATGCTAACAAAACACAAAAGCCAAAACAAGAGATAGACAAACCTGTTGCTTCATGTTGGAATACTGTTATGTGAAAAATATGCATGTGGAAATATAAAATTTGATCTAATTATTTTTTGATCTAATTATCTCATATATATTCACATGTAGATGATCTAATTATCTCATAGAGAGAATATTTATCTTGTATGATAATCAAATATCACATGGTACAGAAATAATATTATAATGTGGAACTAAGGATTTCCTCTAATTTATAATATATCTGTGCACTGAGGAAACTACTAAGCTTGGAATTATAAAATATTTTTTTCAAATTATACTAAAATTAAAAGAGTGAATATATTCAGTGAATATTGCCAAATCTAGTAATTTCCATAACTAATTTTTCAAAGAAAATCAATGTAGATCTACCATATATGTCTGATTTGGGGACCTAGTGAGCCCATCAAAAGCATGAAAGAGAGCTAAATTATATAAATAAATTGTACACTAAATAAATGAACAGACTACATGTTAAGCATAATTAGAGCATATAAATATTAGTTAATAATTAGCAGCATGTTTCCATGCAGCCAAATGTTCACTCCTTTTCTAGTTCATCAATTCATTAAAATATGTTGATTTAAAAATTAATATTTTTATTCAGAAAAACATTAATGCACAGCTGCATTCTTTCTCTTTGTTTCCTCTTATGTAACAGGTTACAATTTTAAAAATGTGAGTGTGATATTTTTTGTCTTTCATGTTGGGCACAAAATGCTGCAGGTCCTGTACTGATGCCATTAGGAAAGGAATTCTGTCTTCCAATACCTAGAACAGGAAATCAAGATACATGTACTTCTGTTAACTACATGTACAATATTAATTAGGGATGTCAAATCGGTCAATTTTTAATACTCGGTTACTCGGACGTTTTTCCGATCGAGTACCCGGGTACTCGGTAAAAGTCTACATAAATATGAACAACTGACTGCAAAACATTGAAATAAAACCACATGGTCTGATGGAAGGTTTACCTGTAAATTATGACAACTTTGTGCCCGACGAAATTTAATCTAACATTTTTAAAGTCCAATTTATTTATGAGATAAATACGAGAAATAAAATCATAAATGGCCCACAGTGGTTTTGTTTAAAAAAATAATCTGTTCCCTAATTGTAATGTTCTATCAATGCGTTTGACGTTTAAGTGATAAGTCGTCAGAGCTACATACATGTACAGTATTAACTTGATCAAGTTCTAACAGAGCGGATTTACGATCTTCGTACACTTTTCGATCATTGATTTCATTAAAATTACGAGACGGTATGTTGTAGTTTGGTGCAACGATGGACATAAGATTTTTAAAGCCTTTGCATTCAACCATTTGCATTAATTGGCACGTAACCAAACGCATCCATATCAACAATCGCACGTGCAATATCGTCTGTCTCTTTCCCCGAGAATCTACGGCTTCTGGAGAATTGACAAAATTATCTAATTTATTTAAACTAATAGACCTTAAACGATGTTCAATGAAAACAAATATTAGAGCAAACTAAACAAGCCGAAGGTGAGAAAAGCCAGGTAGGTAGCAGGTGCTTGGTCACGGTAATTACTGTATAAACACTGCCACAGGCGATAACGGTCATTTAGAGGCTCAGGAAACCCTAATTACTGTATGTACAAGTGTAATGAACATTTTACGTTTAAAACCGATATTTTAATGCATTAATAAATAAGCTTAAAAAACATTAAATAATATACATCCGAGTAACCGAGTACCGATTTTAGTATTCGATACTCGGACGTTCGATCGAGTACCCAGTTAACCGGGTACTCGTTGACATCCCTAATATTAATAATCATAATAATCATCTAAGAAACACAAATTCCTAACAACTGACTTTTTCTGAAAAATGAATATTCTTCTTATGCCTATGTTTGTATACTTTCAAAATGGTACATGTATGATAGATTTACCTTTTTAAAAAAAAAAAAACTAAGTTTCAAACAAAATATTTCTTTTTTTGGACCACATGACTTTTGCATCTAAAATGTATTAAAAACTTCGGCATTAATTACACCTTAACACAAATGGGAAAGTCAAATGGTTTTAAAAGAATTTCATAAATTGATATCACAAATGCTGACATCGTACATGAGCAAGATAAGTCTGTGATATAAAAAATTTTAATCTGAAAATGCTTTACTTCATGTGTTTGCAAACACCACTGCAGTTGTGAAACTACACATTTTAAAGGATAAATACATGCAAATAAAATTTAAACAGCCATTTGGTTGTTTTGCCAAGATCTTTACTTTACATAAACTTATAAAATGAGCCTTTGATGCCCGAAGTATATAGTATAGATTTTCTGATATCAAAGCAGTTTTATGATGATGGAAGTTGATGTGTTACTTACGTCCAATAATGCCTCTTGAGCCAATGACCGATAGGACAGAAGTATACCAATAATGGTCATTCTCATCAATACACTGTCCACATCTGTCAAATAAACCAACAAAATGGCCATCACAAGAAGCACTAGTAGAAAAATATCATCACTTATTTCATGAGTTTAAAATTTTTTTTAAAAATCATTTTTTTCTCTTTTGGTGGCATCCAGTGTTCCATCATAGGAATTCCAAATGATTTCCATTATATTCAATACCCACATCAGTAAGTTCTTTTACTTATCCCCCTCCCCTCACACCTTGTTTGCCCTCAATATCAAATAGCATCATGTTACAGCCTACTTGCCCAAGGGAACATTACTAAATTGTCATAATTGCAAAAAATTATAAATTGAGCAAAATCTTGATCTCAAAATTTAGCACACCTGTAAAGCTGCAGAAAGTTACATATACATGTATAGAAGTTCATATCATTTTGGAAAATCTCTATTTCGTATAAATATAAATTATTTCCAAAAAAGTAAACTAATAACAATGAATATTAACATATTCAAATGAAAACAAATTAAACTATCCACCAGAGTTAAATAATAACATTTTCAGCAATATTATGCATAAGAGGAATTTACTATCAAGTTGCATACACTACATGTGTTACTTTTCAAGCAGCTTAAAAGCAATGTGAAAATAATTTACAATTAAAGCACAAAACAATTTTTTTGTTCTTACAAAATTAATTTTTACCACAGAACTGTATAAATTGCTTGTTTTTTCTCTGTTATTTAATCACTTTGAAGTCATGTTTATTCTTTGAATTTTTTGACACAAAAACATATGTAAGAGATCATAATACGAGAGTTTCTAAATTTTTTCAAAACATTATTGTTAAAAAGGTCATTTTTGTGTTAAAATCAACAGCACCACAAAGAAATCCTTCTTCACAAGCATGCAATGCACAAAACATTGCCACATCATTCTGACACATGTATACAGATACACGCAGTAGTGTAACTGTACAATATGCCATGCAGCATACAAACTAGCTGAACTCTATACATTTAATGTATACCATGCAAATGTCACATCAGATAATGAAAACTAGAGATTATATATTCATGGAGGCTACTAAACATTTCCATCTAAACAGTTGTAGAACCTCTCTTTAGAAACATTTCGGACAACAAAAAATTGATTTATGTATTACTGAAGGTTTCACACATTATGCTCCTAGTCCATTTTCATATGTATGTACTTCTAACACCATTTCCTGTTCACAAATGATATACATCTGTACATAGCTCTGCAAAAATTGCTTCAACTCTGTCTTTAAATTGTTACATATATATCAGATTCGAGCAGTCAGTTTGAAAACCAAGAGAGGAATGTCATTTATATGATCCCATTCAGTGAACCTGAATATACATCACTATATCATGATATTCACTCCATCACTTCAGATTTCATGCTTCTATGAAAATTATGACACCCTGCATATTTGATGTATGTATAATATGCAGATTGAAAAAAAAATGTTAATGATGAGTATAGAAAGGAAATAATATTTGGACATTCTGATTAAATTGTTGTAAGGATCTATTGAGGAGGTAATATGTAGGAAATATTGCATAATATGATACAATAGTTTCCCATTATAGTGAGACCTGCAAATGAAAAATTTATCTAAATAATTTACTTCTTGTACCAGGACATTGTAATATCTCTGTAAGAAACTTTTTAGGCACAACTAGAAGCCAATCCAATCTGTATTACGAAGAACAGAAGTTTGCTCCAGATTTCAATCACAATGCACTACTATCATAAAGATATTTTTCCCTTTAGAAGAGATATAGATATGTACAATAGAGAATATGAGGGGGATAACTGTGTAATATAAGGGAGGTAATTGTGTGTACAAATCTTACCTGACATTTGGTTTTTAGCATCTACAGATATATATAAGGACAAAATTAAACATTTGATTCCATTACTGTAATTCTCACATCTTGCATACCTTAAGCTTGATTATCTTTGTTAATTAAATGAATAAAGCAATAAAAAAAAAATCATGATTGAATTTAGAGATACACTACCAGGTCTTCCTTTCATCTGATGATGTCATTGATATGTAGAATTAACAAAAATACACATCTGACTCATAGTTTTTATTTTATCTATAGTGTTAATTTTATTCATTTTCTTTATTTAATTCTACTTTTTTACAGTATTTTTTCTTGTTTTACTTCATAACTTATATTTAAATGCAATGAGGGATACCTAAGTACAATGAATTGTGAAATATGATAAGAATGAAAGAAAATGATAAAAAGTTGAAACATGCTAAAAATAAATATAATCTGACTAAAGAATAAACTGTAAAAAGTCAAACCATGCATAAAACAGAGGTGATAAAAATGTGGTCATATCAATGAATAATACATGTAATCCCTCGTATAAAATTTCAATGGTCAAAGCCCCTCTTCTCCTATGGACATTTGCCGATAACCATCACAATTTTACCTTTCTTGTACTGAACATAAGCTCCTGATTATAATAATTAAGAAATAAAAAATAAATATAAAACAACATATTTCTCTAAAGCTCTACAAACTAAACAGAGAGGACAGACAGAAATTAATAAAAGAATTAAAATAAAATCTCCCCATTTTTCTGAACGGAAAAGCGCAGTGATTCTGGATGAATTATAAATGATACAAAGCTTTCCAATGACCAATAATATTACTAAATATTGACAGATGAGGTACAAATCAAATGCAGACAATACATAGTATACACAGAGAATCTGATGTCCTTACTTCCATGTGGCTTAATGGGTCCTATATAACAGCAATAAGATTAATGAGTGGCAGTAGCCATCACATCCAATACCTCTCTCTCTCTCTCTCTCTCTCTCTCTCTCAGATGAATAGAATGTAAAGAAGCCAACTTGTCCCCTCTTGTACTCTCATTACTTTGAAGTTCATTGATGGTTTCTTTTGGTTTGTTAGTAATTTATACATATATGCCAAGCAAAAATAATGCCCTTTGTTTAGTGAAATCAAAATTTGTTTGGGACAGGCAAAAATTAAGTTTACTACACAGAAAATAATTTGCAGCAATCTTTGGTATATCATCATGCTTAAAAAAGAAAATTACAAGAAATGACAAATAAGACTAAGTGAACTTCTCATTTTTTTACCTTGGACAAAAATGTATCATTTCAATAAAAAATTACACTACATGCAGCATTATTCCTACTCCTAAACTAAAGGTGGACTTCATACAATTTTCCTTATTCATTCATAATAAGAGCACATACCATACCATTGAAAGTCAAGATCACTGCACATTTATTTACATGTGAATCTGCATTTTAAGTGAACTATAGTCTTGTACACGACACAAACATCTATATGAAGTAAACATGTGAGAAGGTATCTTTGCAATTTGATCCTCCCTCTCCAATACACATATTTTAGATTTTTAGACTCAAATGTACCTACAACTTAATTTTAAGAGAAAAAATATACAAGTTTTATCCCATGTTTGCATCATTTTTCAGAAAAAAAAAATAAAGAAAGAATGCTCTTAATGTTTTCACACCATGACCTTCCCTTCTTCAAATAGTGTAAATGATTTCATACCAAGATAATGCACAGAGACTATCTTTATCAGAATCGTTCCAGCAGTTTCTTTATCCCAAAATTTCAGGAGCAAATCCTACTTAGATATGTAAAGAATAAACAGTTCTAAATGATTTAAACCCTAAATAATGTAATCTTTTGGTTGACTTACTTCCTAATCGCCGGAACAGATCCCTCATCACTTCTGGTTTATCAAAACTAGTTCTCATGTTAAACAGCACCTCTTTATTCTGTATCACCAGTTTCTGTCAAAATTGAATCAAAACAAAAATAAACAGACCTTCAGATTTGTAAATTAGCATTTCAGAAATCCTTTAAAAAGAAAAAAGACAACCATACCCAACTAAGTCATAAAACTTTGTGGCAAGAAATGTAATATTCATGGTTAGAATCAGAATGCCATGCCTGGAAAGTGTTTTCAACCAAAAAGGGCTGTACAATCTTCATTATTTCATATCCTCAAGATGATAGTAATGAAAGAAAAAACAATGCCTTTTATCATCTGATTAACATCTTGAAATTTCCCCTTTGACCTACCTTTAGCTCCTCCACCTGACTGGCCACATGACCCATCAGTCTCTCTCCTAGATACCTCATTCCATAGGGACCAATCAATTCAGCCAAAGCTCTCAGTTCTAAAATGAATGAAAAGCCCTTTACCCATAGTTTCTATGTACCATATTTTGTGAAATCTGTTCAGTGGTTCCAAAAAAGAGCTGAAAATCGTCAAAGTTTAAAATAGATGATGCACAATGCTAAATGAAAACATACAGCAATAAGTCTCCTTAATGACAATAGTGACCTATAAAGTTAACCTTCGACACATGCAGTTTATGAAGTCCTGTCGTGACCCCTACCTGTCAGGTCAGCGTATTCCTCCGCTGCTAAATATAGGTTCTCTTTACTGTTGTTGTCTTGTGCCACGGTAACAAAAGCCTTATGGTTTGGAGAGTACACAATGTGACCCATATTTACTGTCACTCTTCTTAGCAATACTTCCAAATACCTGTGCAAGTAAAAGATATAAGAAAATGGAGGTTATGTAATGTCTTGTACATTTGTTTCATTTCATTAAATTTTATTGTAACTGTCAAATAACAAGAGGTCCATCGGCTACTTTGCTCACCTGAGAAGCTTTGACCATTACGTTCTTTACCAGATTTCCCCCTTGTAATACATATTGTGACCCCACCCTACCTAACTGATCATAATTTAGACAATTTGAAATCTACGCTACCATAGGATGCTTTGATTCAACATTGTAAAACTTTGATTCCCCATTGTGGCCCCGCCCAACCCCTTGGGGTCATGATTAGAACAATTTAGAATCTACACTACCCTGGGATGCTTCCACTTAGGTTTCAACTTTTCTGGCACAGTGGTTCTTGAGAAGAAAATTTTCAAAGATTTTTCCTATATATTTCTATGTAAAACTTTGATTCCCCATTGTGCCCCCCCCCCAACCCCCGGGGGTCATGATTTGAATAATTTAGAATTGACACTACCCAAGGATGCTTCCACGTAAGTTTAAGCTTTTCTGGCCCAGTGGTTCTTGAGTAGAAGATTTTCAAAGATTTTTCCTATATATTGCTATGTAAAACTTTGATTCCCCATTGTGGCCCCACCCAACCCCCGGGGGTCATGATTTGAACAATTTAGAATCTACACTACCTAAGGATGCTTTCACATAAGTTTCAGCTTTTCTGTCCCAGTGGTTCTTGAGTAGAAGATTTTCAAAGATTTTTCCCATATATTTCTATGTAAAACTTTGATTCCCCATTGTGGCCCCATCCTACCTCCGGGGGTCATGATTTTAACAATTTAGAATTTGCACTACCCCAGGATGCTTCCATGTAAGTTTCAGCTTTTCTGGCCCAGTGGTTCTTGAGTAGAAGATTTTCAAAGATTTTTCCCATATATTTCTATGTAAAACTTTGATTCCCCATTGTGGCCCCATCCTACCCCCGGGGGTCATGATTTTAACAATTTATAATTTGCACTACCCCAGGATGCTTCCATGTAAGTTTCAGCTTTTCTGGCCCAGTGGTTCTTGAGTAGAAGATTTTCAAAGATTTTCCCATATATTTCTATGTAAAACTTTGATTCCCCATTGTGGCCCCGCCCTATCCCTGGGGGTCATGATTTGAACAATTTAGAATCTACACTACCCCAGGATGCTTCCACATAAGTTTCAGGTTTTCTGGCCCAGTGGTTCTTGAGAAGAAGATTTTTTAATGACTCCACCCTATTTTTTTCTTTTCTTGATTATCTCCCCTTGTGAGGAGACTTGGCTCTTCATTTTAACAATTTGAATTCCCCTTAACCCAAAGATGCTTTGTACCAAGTTTGGTCAAAATTGGCCCAGTGGTTCTTGAGAAGAAGTCGAAAATGTGAAAAGTTTACAGACGGACAGACAGACAGACGGACGGACAGCTAGACAGACAGACAGACGGAGGGACGATGGACAAAATGTGATCAAAAAAGCTCACTTGAGCCTTCGGCTCAGGTGAGCTACAAGAGGCCCAGGGGCCACAGCGCTCACCTGAGCACATCAGCTAGGAAAAAACACATATCAGACCGGACCTGAAATTTAACAATTTGAAAACCCCAAAGGGATCATAATTTGAACGAACTAGAATCTACATTACCTGAGGATGATTCCATACAAATATAACTAATCCTGGCTTTGAAGCACTTGAAAAGAAGATTTAAAAAGGTTTCCCTATATATTTCTATGTAAAACTTTGGACGGCCATTTTGGCCCCGCCCTAACCCCGGGGGTCATGACTTGAACAAACTTGAATCTACACTACCTGAAGAAAATTTCACATGAGTTTCATCTTTCCTGTCCCAGTGGTTCTTGAGAAGAAGATTTTTAAAGATTTTTCCTATATATTCCTATGTAAAACTTTGATCGGCCATTTTGGCCCTGCCCTACCCCCGGGGGTCATGAGTGTGAACAAACTTGAATCTACACTACCTGAGGATGATTCCACATGAATTTCATCTTTCTGGCCCAGTGGTTCTTGAGAAGAAGATTTTTAAAGATTTTTCCTATATATTCCTATGTAAAACTTTGATCGGCCATTTTGGCCCCACCCTACCCCCGGGGGTCATGACTTGAACAAATTTCAATCTACACTTCCTGAGGCTGATTCCACATGAGTTTCATCTTTCCTGTTCCAGTGGTTCTTGAGAAGAAGATTTTTAAAGATTTTTCCTATATATTCCTATGTAAAACTTTGATCGGCCATTTTGGCCCCGCCCTACCCCCGGGGGTCATGACTTGAACAAACTTTAATCTATACTACCTGAGGATGATTCCACGTGAGTTTCATCTTTCCTGTTCCAGTGGTTCTTGAGAAGAAGATTTTTAAAGATTTTTCCTATATTTTCCTATGTAAAACTTTGATCGGCCATTTTGGCCCCGCCCTACCCCCGGGGGTCATGACTTGAACAAACTTGAATCTACACTACCTGAGGATGATTCCACATGAATTTCATCTTTTCTGGCCCAGTGGTTCTTGAGAAGAAGATTTTTAAAGATTTTTCCTATATATTCCTATGTAAAACTTTGATCGGCCATTTTGGCCCCGCCCTACCCCCGGGGGTCATGACTTGAACAAACTTGAATCTCCACTACCTGAGGATGATTCCACATGAGTTTCATCTTTCCTGTCCCAGTGGTTCTTGAGAAGAAGATTTTCAAAGAATTTTCCTTTTTATTGCTTTGTTAATTTTTGATCGGCCATTTTGGCCCCGCCCTACCCCCGGGGGTCATGACTTGAACAAACTTTAATCTATACTACCTGAGGATGATTCCACGTGAGTTTCATCTTTCCTGTTCCAGTGGTTCTTGAGAAGAAGATTTTTAAAGATTTTTCCTATATATTCCTATGTAAAACTTTGATCGGCCATTTTGGCCCTGCCCTACCCCCGGGGGTCATGACTTGAACAAACTTGAATCTACACTACCTGAGGATGATTCCACATGAATTTCATCTTTTCTGGCCCAGTGGTTCTTGAGAAGAAGATTTTTAAAGATTTTTCCTATATATTCCTATGTAAAACTTTGATCGGCCATTTTGGCCCCACCCTACCCCCGGGGGTCATGACTTGAACAAATTTCAATCTACACTTCCTGAGGATGATTCCACATGAGTTTCATCTTTCCTGTTCCAGTGGTTCTTGAGAAGAAGATTTTTAAAGATTTTTCCTATATTTTCCTATGTAAAACTTTGATCAGCCATTTTGGCCCCGCCCTACCCCCGGGGGTCATGACTTGAACAAACTTGAATCTACACTACCTGAGGATGATTCAACATGAGTTTCATCTTTCCTGTCCCAGTGGTTCTTGAGAAGAAGATTTTTAAAGATTTTTCCTATATATTCCTATGTAAAACTTTGATCGGCCATTTTGGCCCCGCCCTACCCCCGGGGGTCATGACTTGAACAAACTTGAATCTACACTACCTGAGGATGCTTCAATAAAAGTTTCATCTTTCCTGGCACAGTGGTTCTTGAGAAGAAGATTTTTAAAATATGCCACCAAATTTTCAGTTCATTCCCAATTATCTCCCCTTGAATGAGGGCGTGGCCCTTCATTTGAACAAAATTGAATCCCCTTCACCCAAGGATACTTTGTGGCAAGTTTGGTTGAAATTGGCCCAGCGGTTGAGAAGAAGTCGAAAATGTGAAAATTTACAGACAGACGGACAGACGGACGCCGGACAAAATGTGATCAGAAAAGCTCACTTGATCCTTCGGCTCAGGTGAGCTAAAAAGTATCATTTTGTACATGTAAAAAGTACATTTTCTTCTTGCACAACTTCTTTTATAAATGTCTTGCATGCAGAATTGAGATTTAAGTAATAGATTTTACATACATGTATATTGGGGCATTCTATCAGTAAATTAGGGGGGAGGGGGCTTGGTGGACATCCTAAAGAGTAAATCCTTACCAGTTAGTGTAGTTAGCAGTGATAGTCTTCTCTCCATTAAAGCTGTCTGTAGCCTGTGTCTGTTGAGGTAACACACTGTTGAACACCCTGGCTATATCAATCTGGACTGAAAGTGTAGAATCAAAGCATGAATAATGTTTTTACAGGGAAATACAATTGTTTTGATAAAATCTTCATTTTCTTGCAATACCATGGACCTACACTTACTGGTGATTTGAAACTGAATTCATGACTTATGAGTTGCAAAGTTAATGGATACTAATGAAATTACCATAATTTTCCAGACCCTGAAGCACACTCATGATAGCCTTGACACTACTTAGTAACTCAGAAGGTTTGGCTATCTCACTTGTATCTGGGTTATACATCATCATTCCCACTAATGCTCTGTTAATGAAAACTTATAATTAGACAGTGAAGTCCTTGATAATGTTAATGCCATTAAACTGTTGATTCAATTTCTAGATTATTTTATTTCTTGGGAACATATTTCTAAAATATATTGTCTCTACACACTCCCCATCTGGATGGCCAGTTATTAAGTAACAATGAAAATTGCTTCATTGTCAATCTATACAGTCAGATTAGTTCCAACAAATCTACAAATGTGGCAGTTAGGATGATCAGTGACTTGTTTTGAGATCCAAACTGATGAATTAATTTAGCTGTGTTCTAATTATTCATTTTAGTGATTCGTGAATCGTATGTGTGAACTGATGAAGATAACAACTACCCGGTTCAAAGGATTCTACAATGTATGTAAGAAACCTTAATTCATGTTTGTGAATTTTATTTATGATAGATGATTCTGTACACTCCAATGCATAAAACACCTATGAATTTGATATCAAACTGTGTAAAACACTCTTTGCCACATCATGTTTAAAACTGACTTGCTATTTTAGTTTTGCTGGTATTATATGTTAGCATTGTAAATTACTTACCTATCTACAGCCATCTTTTTGTGCATTTTCTTTTCAATTAATCTAACCAAATTATATATATACTGCGAATATTGATTTTCTTTTTAGAAATTAGAAATTATTTATAGAGATTTGAAGGAAAGGGAGAAAAAAATTGCCTTTGTTTATTTTTTTTTCAACCAAAGAATCAACTTGATTCAGGGAAAAAAACTAATACCATACAATGCAAAATTAATAATTTATACTGTTATTTGTAAAACCAATTAGACAAAGTATTATGTTTCTTAAAAAACTGTGTTAGTCTTAAATCCTACATCATGAATCACAAATTGAGTCATCAAGATTAATCAGAGTCAATTGTAAATTACATCTTAATGAAATAGATAGCACCTCCCAGAAAATCAAACCGAAAAAGGACTTTTTTTAATGATATTTGATTATAAACTGTAGCCATAATTTGGTACACACTTGTTAAATCTTGTCTCCAGATGCTGTATAAAAAACTCTCTTGGAACGAAGCCATGCTCCCAGACCTGTATCACATTGCAGTAGTTGATAGCATAGCAGAGTTCCGTCAAGGCCATATGTAACTTGTCCATCCTGAAATCAGTCAATGGCAATGATAATGACATGAATTCTGTGCACAGTTTGATATGCATGAAAATTTAATCATTAAATCTCCCTTAAAGTTACTGTTCCTGATCTATTTTGATAATCAATAATATTTTGGGGCAGGAGAAAGACTTTTTTGCTGATCTTTGTTACAAATTTTTGTTACATACAGATTCTGCTGTCAGAGTGTAATGTACATGTATATGCAAAGTGACGTTACTTCCAACTAAGTTGAAAGAAGATAACTTACAGTTTTTATATCAAATACACATGTATGTCGGATCCTTGTAGCTAAAATCATATACCGGTATATAAGGCTTTGATTTGAAGTATGTTAATCTGACAGATATTAATTAAAATTTGTTGACAATGTCAATCAGTGAAATTGTTTTTTTTTTAACTTTTAAAAAGCCTCCTACTTTAGTTGTCAAAGCTGTAAAATAGTAACTTTTACATGTAGTCAGTTATTACTTACAATTAAAGCATTACTGAGTTACAAGCTATCTGTTCTTCATTGAATTTGCATAATTATCAATACTCCTAGTGGAGACAATTGGCATTTTGAATCTTATTCTTAAGTGCTTTTAGTAATAAATCTTACATACTTTGTTGTCCTACAACAGATACATGTATACTGAGTACTCATTTTTAAAGAAGAGACTTGAAGATCAATCATCGTGTTAATCTAATATAAATCACACATAAATATTGTTATATATCCTGTAAACCAATGTAATTTAATTAATAAGAGACGGTACAGAATATGCCTGGAAATTGGTGACAAGTTCATTAATTTTACATGAATTTATTTAACAGCACATCAGAACTGTCCCCATACCTTGTAAAGTTTTCCCGGTTTTTACGAGCACTCTCCATCCCTGGCTTCTCTTCCTCAGGGCCCTGGTTTTTCTTTTTGTCCTGTTTTTTCTTATGTTTGTTGGAACTCTGAAGGATACTGGCTGCACTGTGCTTTGGCAAAAGCTACAACCAGTACAATTTAAATATTAACGTACTTTCATAAACTGTCATCAAAAACATTTTTGGCTGGCTCTTTGTTTTCCTTTAATATTCAATGAATGCAAAAAGTCTAAATAAAACCAACTCCACTCACAGGACCACATTTTAAAATTGTCAAAAATTCATACCCGGTACATGGTTATAGTAGTTTAACAGCTCTACTCACAGAGTCTGACATAATTTTACCATCTTAAAAATCCTTTCAACCTAAATCCTAAATACCTTATAGTTCAGCATGCACTGTTCCTCGCAGATAGCTGTGATGACCTGGTTCACTTCATCAGACATTTCCTTCAGGAACCAGTGGGCGTACTGTACACTGGTGGTGCCGATAGAGTGGCGCTATTGAAAAAATCAAAACACATAAATGGCCCAGGAGTACATTATTTTGATCATATAATCTCTGCGACTGCCATGTTGATTACATGATTTGTTCTGTTTGCCAAGTAAGAATCTTTTTAGAGAGACAAAAGCAATGTCATTTTTTTAAAGTTTAGAAATAATGTGAAATATTAATATTAAATACAGCAATATACATGTAAATTTGTAAATTTGTCTTGGTTATGAATAAGAAATAAAAAGAATGTATCACAAAACTTTGGTGATATACAGTATATGCACTAACCTCTTCTGGGCAGAGTTCATGAGTGGCATTCATGAAATGTCCACATATGATGGGGAACACAATGCTGTAGCGGTGCTGTGCAGGAAACTCCATACACTGCTTAAACTGGTGCTCAAAAATCTGGGTGTAGAAGCTACAAAAGGAGGGGCATGATTTATTGATATTTACACAAATAACCTGTACTTATACTGTAAAACAAGTATAGAGCATAGACACTTTACATGTAATGCATTGAGGCTTACAGTAAAGTCATGTTCATTTCCATGACTTTAAAATGTAAAGGATTGTTAACTAAAAGGATATAACAAATTACACTTATAATGAAGCATAATTGTCCATCCCTGGCACTTTGCTATAAGTGTGTTTTACTGAAGTACAGTCAGTATTTCTTGTTAGTACTCACCAATAGATAGAAAGGTCTCCTGTTTCGTTCAGCAGTTCATCCAGGTAGTCCACCATTTTGGTGTGATAGATGATCATGTTGAGGTGTTTACCCAGGTCCTGATGGTCCCTCAGTACGAGGCCTGCCCGGGAGACTCCAGTGTAAGCCTGGGTGGAGAAGGAAAAAATGAAAACGGAAAACAAATGATTAATCCTAAACCTTGTTTTATTAATAGTTTGAATACTACATTTCTTATTCAAAATTCTTTTCAACTTTGAAGCTTACCTGCAATCTGAACCAATCCAATCTAATTCCACGCAAGTCAAAAACTTCATTGGCTTCAACTGGAAATCAGGAAACTTATTTAATTTCTAATTTTTTCCCCAAAATTGTGAAGTTTCCATTAAATGAAAAAAAAAATACAGGTAAGTTTACCTGTATCTTTAAAAAGGTAATTTTTTTTACAATCATAAATGAAAATTCTGTTTTAAATCTGACCTTGTTTGACAGATAATGCTGCTATGGTGTTGTACAGAGAAGATAAAATCACAGACTCATCCTCTGGACAGTGGGCCAAGTTCTGTAACAAACACAGATAATTAGCTTACTTTGTAATTAAAGATAATTTACAGAGATAAATGTAAAAGATCATCAGATCATCACATCATACCGAGTACAATGCTATTCAACCCTAGAAAGTAACGTAGCCATACATGAATATAAACACAATACATGTATGTGAAAGGCCCATTTTCAGCCAGATTTTTGGTTTTGTTTTGTTTCCGGTGTTCTAATAAATACAAATTCAAAATAGAATGCATTATCTTTACAAGGTCTAGAGACCAGGCAAAGTTTTGAGATAAATAGAAAGACTGATAAATTTTAAAAAACATCTCAAACATGCAATGTTCATTTGGAGTAAAATCATTTTAAAACATATCTATAGATGTATAAAGTTTCAAAGTTTCTTTGAGTTTTTATCTGTCCAGAAAAACCCCCCAATAAACACAGAGAGTAATGAAAAATAAAGATTTATAGCAGATATTCCTTTAAATATATATACATGTATATATAAAAGGACTCAATATTTTTATACAAATTGTAATACAACTGTACTGACAATCCGCTAGAATATGGAGATATGCCGATTTTTTTTTTTTTTGTACTATGATCTCATACAATTTCTTAAGCATCAGAGTAAACAGATGGTACATATATTTGTATATGGAATGCATAGCAAAAAATACTGTCATATTTCTTCAATAAATTCAGAATAACACATTAGTAAAGTTGGCAGCTCAGATTAGTAAAACTGTAACATTTTCTGTAAAAATAAATAAAGTAAATGCAGTGGCGAGAGTCTTACTTCCCATTCCTTTTTTACATCCTGTCGTTCAAAGAAATAGTTAATTAGTTTCATTCTTTAGGGTGGCATTTTGTTCTTTCATTATACACATACAACAGCTGCGGCAGAAAAATGAACAACTGAAATCAGACTTATTTACATTGAACATGACTAATTCTAGCCTTACCTGTATCAGTTGGTTTAGTAACACTGAGTCAAAACCCGCTAAATATTGTACATAGTAGCGCTGTACCACCTGGTTATATTTTCGAACCAAAGCTGAAAACAGGAAAAAAAAAAATTATAAGTACCTAAACATCAACAAATCAACATTTTAATGAAATTTATGAATAGTTTTCTTAAAATTACAAATACATTATCCCATATCAAAGGTATTATAAATCGTAAAGTCTATACATCATTTGCTTCTTTCCCAGAAATTTTAATAATACAAAATACTTTTCATATGTATTACATGTACTTATTTTTGCTTTGGCATATTCAAAATTAAGATTCAGAGAGCCAGGGAATCTTAAGAGTAATCAAGGGATACACTGTAATGTAATCAGTATTTACTTTTTGATCACAACTTTAAAAGTAAAATCTCACATTTCAATTCCTCCATGTTAAACAATAACTCTGGCAGCTGTCTATCTACAAAGTCCTCTTGTGACAGTTTCACATTGTGTCTCTTAGAGGGTGGATTATCAAAATGTCGCAGTAACCAATGGATTTCATCTCGAGCCACGGCCAGAGCTTGGAAGACGTACAGTCCCTACAGGATCACAAACAAGAAAATTTATATAGAACTTTAAGATATAACATTTGATAATTTTTCCTGACAAAGGATATTTCCATGATTTGTACTTTCACTTTACTGATGTGTACTTTTAATAAACTGAAGTGTACTTTCACTTTGAGATACCTTTGGTCCTAACAGTCCTGGCTGATCAGTGTAAATCAAGGCCAACTCTTTCAGAGCAGATCTCAGAAACTTTCTCCTTTCTCTGTGTATGCCAGGACTGAAGTGGAAACAAAACATGATACATTATCTTTGCATTGCATGTACATGTAATACATTCAGTTAAAGAAATGTGCAAAAATCAGTCATCTATGTTAACGATTTTTGGCATAATGGACATTTAATGAGGCTGAAATATACAAAATAGCACTGCTTTAGTACTACATGTCTAAATTTATGTAGTGTACAGCCTCCGTTGTATTTGATATCAATAGAAGACTGCTCATTTATATTGTGGCCATAATAACACTTACGCTGACTGTAGAGCTTGATGTTGTAGATCTCTGACTTCTGTTATCCTCTTGGACATGTTGTGTCTGAAAATGTGTATATGATAGTCATATCAAATAAGTCTACTTAATAGAAGTGCTAAATTAGTAGGTATATATTAAGATAAGTTGAAATACTAATCAATGCAACAACATTTGGAAAATATGTGTAATAGGCAGAGCCAGAAAACATTCTACAGTCTAAGAGTGTATATCATTAACATTCACAGTATCTTTTATGCATAGGGTAAAAAAGTTATTATTGTACTTCAATAAATTAACTTTGTTTGCAACACCTCATTTGGTTGGACAGGGCTCTCACACCACTTTTTGGGACTGGGGCCAGGGCCGTTCAAATTGGGAAAATTATCGTCATTTTGGGAAAAGTTGGATAACCAAAATTCATTTTAAAAAATCCTCAAAGAACTATATGCGGTATATTGCATATGTTTGCCCCCACAAAAGTCAAATTTTGAAAACTTCCTGATATGTGCTGAATTCAATAAATTGTACGAGAAATATAAGTTAACAGAAAATATTATAGTTCCAGAGCAGTGTATTCACAATTTCTGATTTTATGACGTCACAAACTAGTCCGATTTTATATCCTTTTTCAGAAAGAGAACAATTTAAGCTTTAAAATTTATAGAGCGCATGTGTGTTCAGGAACAATATTGACATATTTCATTGATATTATCATTCTACACATTATATCAAAATATTTATCCTGAACACACATGCGCTCGGTGAGGTATTTAAAATATCGAAGAAATATGTACATTTTTCTGCAAAATTCATAAAAAACTGAAATTTACGTCATATTTGTGACGTCATTACGTACATATGACGTCATTACTTATGAAATTATTCAGTGCTTTGAAGTCAGCATATACTCCCCTGTTTAAGGACTTAATTAAATATTACTCCGTCAAAGTTTGATTTTGGGGGGCAAATGTTGGTTAATACCGCATATAGTTCTTTTGCTTTTCTAGCATTTTGTCATCAATTTAACTCTGGTTTTCAATAAACAGTTAAACAGAACAAACATGGGTACGTAGGCTATTTATGAAAGTACATTTTCTTTGTCATAACTATCTTTGAGTGTTGATATTGCGGTTATCTGTCTTTCTGAGTGACAGTTGCTAGTCATATAGTCCCGAATTTCCTCGATCACATGGACAACTTTGCTTACCAATACAGCGCGAGACTGAACATGCCAAAGCGTGGGTATGTTTCTAGGTGCAGCTTACTAATGTTAAAATGAAATGTCTATTTTTGAAACCACAATGATGTTTTTTGTCGAAACTACATGACAAGATACTCTGCACTCTTAGTTAGTACACATTTTTGTAAAAACAATAACCTGGTTCCCCGAACCAGTTTACGAATGCATTTGGCGCGAACTAATAAAATAGTCGTTCAGTTTCACTTTCATTTGCAAGTGTGTTTTGTTTGGTTTTTTTTTGCGATTAAGTTTCATGGACTTTTATTTTTTAATTAATATTTTGCTATGGAAATTGGGAAATTTACACCTTTCTTTTGGGAAAAAAGGTACCTTTTTTGCATTGGGAACAGGGCGGAATATCGGCCCCAGATTTAGAGAATCGAGAGCCCTGTTGATCCAAAAAAAAATCTATAAATTAATTACCCCTTAAGCCCCTCAAAGAATGCGGTGATGTAGCTGTGGATGTGAAGAACTTCATCTCGACAGAGCTGTACAATGTAGCCTGACTGTAGAGCAGTCTTCCAGAGGTCCCACAACTGAGCCTCCTGTAGGTACTGGTGACACAGCAGCATAGAGACTGAAACATAGAGACATTGTCATATCACAGCAGCATAGAGACTGAAACATAGAGACATAGTCAAATCACACAGCATAGAGACAGAAATATAGAGTCATAAACAAATCACAGCAGCATAGAGACGGAAATATAGAGGCATAAACAAATCACAGCAGCATAGAGACGGAAATATAGAGGCATAAACAAATCACAGCAGCATAGAGACTGAAACATAGAGACATAGTCAAATCACAGAGCATAGAGACTGATAATAAAATATAGAGACATGGTCAGATCACAGAGCATAGACTGAAATACAGAGACATAGTCAGATCACATAGCAGCATAGAGACTGAAACATAGAGACACAGTTAAATCAAAGCAGCATAGAGACTGAAACATAGAGACATCGTCATATCACAGCAGCATAGAGACTGAAATATAGAGACAAAGTCAAATCACACAGCATAGAGGCTGAAACATAGAGACATATTCAAATTACAGAGGAGCTTAGAGACTACAAAAATAAAACAGAGACACAGTCAAATAACACAGCAGCATAGAGACTGATAATAAAACATGGTCAGATCAGACAGCATCATAGAGACTGCAAAAATATAATATAGAGACATGGTCAAAAATGTGACAGCATAGGAACTGCAAAAATTTCCCTGCATACAGTAATTGAGACAATGTGGTACTTACAAATAATCCATCTCTCCATGGCATCAACAGACAGATATTCACATTGTACCTAGGAAGAAAATGAAAGCTAAGTTATTTCAGAAGAAGAAAAAAAGAATCATTTTATTTTACTTTCATGTACATATCTACATTTCTACATTTATTGTCATATCTATGTACCTGGTAGATTTCTTTGAAGCTAAATCTATAAATCTATTTTGTTTGATGTCCCTTTTGAGAATTTTTCACTCATATTTAGATCCCCACTGCTGGTGGAAGATTGCAAATTGTAGATATATACTCCACACTCAAGGCCATTAAATAGTGAAGGATCTTTTTTGTCTCAGCACCTTTTCATCTCAGGACCACAGCTTCATCTAAAGGACCAGCTCTCCACATCTCTATGGCTCTGGAGAAATTTTACAAATTTTCTAATAATACTAACAACATACCATGTCAGTGTTTGGAACATTCATGATTTTGGGTGGCTCTGCCAATAAACTGAGGAAACCTGTAGCTCTCATCTGGTCTGCTGGCAGATTCCTCTTTGGGTAAATCTTGTGTAGAGACATAATGGCTGGAACCAACACCTAACCATAACAAAGAATACAATAAAACTGGATATTTAGAATATTCTGTATCTTGAGATTAAATGGAACATAAAACATGGTCCAATGACCACAAAGAATCAATGGAATAACCTTAGCCCTGGTTTTCTCAAAAATGACTTTCTTAGTCTATCATACTCAAAGATTGCTGTGGATAACTTTTTTTAGGTATAAATTTCAAATTTTATCTCAAAAAGCTCTAGACATAACTAATAAAAATTTATATAAAAGCATTTAATATTAGAAAGAGACATGCTGACATCTTATATCTGTGAGACTATTGGAAAATGTCAGGATATCAAGAGTGCTAACAGACTTTGATCAGAAAAGCTTACTTATAGTTACTTATAGTTCAGACAAACTTTTAAAAATAAATGGAGCTAATATGCCCCCCCCCCCCCCAAAAAAAATATTCAGATGAACTTATAATGAACCAAGATTTAATTTAGTAGACTGATTTGGCTTACCCTAGAGTGAGGTACAAACTCCTCAGAGAGTTTTCTAAGAGGAATATCATAGTCAATCACCATCTGTCCCAGCCGAGGAAAGGAGGGATCACTGGAAATAATTAAATCTTAGTAACTAAATTTACACAAACAAAAGATGCATTAAGTCTCTAAGAAATAAGAGTATTAAAAGTATCAGTATACATGTATATAGCAGTAATCCTTGATTCTGCATTTTCACATTTTTTTTTTAATTAGGCGTTTCAGTCTACCAAATTTGGTATGATCCTGTGTGTTCATTAATTACACAGTAACAAATGTCTTTTGTGCCCCCCCCCTCCAAAAAAAAAATCTTTTGCATAGACTGCTGCTTTCTCTTTTGGAATAGTTCATATTTTTAAACATTTATGAAAATTTGGGACAAAAACTGATTCCCTCACCTTGAAGCATGGAGATACTCGTAAGCCACATTGTACAGAGACAGCACTACTCTTCTATCCTCCACGCGGGACACCAGAATCATGATGGACACATAGGTCGAAATTAGGTTCAGATAGTTCAGGGTCAGGTCATAGTTCAAGGTCTACCAAAGCATAAATATAACACAACTCAACAAGTTGTACATCTCTGCATATACAAGGTATGATTTTAATACAGTCCAATTTAATACATTTATTTAGGTACTTACAATGTCCATATGAACTTGACAGGCATCAATCGTAGTCAGCAAATCAACGACATGATCCTGAAAACAAAATAAGATGGAGGTAACTTGTAAAATTCTTTTTTTTTATATGATAAAAGAGAAATAGTTTTTAGATTACATTTGTTCAATTCTTTGGAACAGACTTAACTCTTATGCATCAAAGGTTCATCTAGAATGATTAAAAGAAACACAATTTTCTTAAAGTTTTGCCATAGTTTTTGAAACTGATTTAAACCAACCTTGAAGTCCATGATGTCCACAAAAGTGAAATAGTATAGAGACAGGGACTTCACGACATCCTGTTTGATGTTGTTGATCACTTGGAGCTACAATCACGAGTTGACAAGAATAAATGCAAAATCATGGCATGAGAGTTTGAACACACATGCACAAAAATACTATTTCTCAAAAGGCTATAACTCTGCTACAAATCACTTTCTACACCTTTTAAAATTAAATTTTATAAACAAAATATCATCATATCATTGTTGATTTATCATAAAACTCATAATCTTCAATACACACTATATTCTGAATTTCAGTAACGAGAGTGAACTGAATACATTGTACATTAAAAATTGAAACTGTCAATATAAAACATCTGATATTTTAGCACCAAGAATGTTCAAGTGTATCCATGCAAATGTTCAAATGCAAATTAGAAACAAAGAATTACACTGTGAACTTATAAATTTTGGCAGTAAGAAAAATAAAATTCCCCTTTTTAAACCTGTACAATACTTTATGCACATTTAATAACAGTGATTTAAAATGTTTCAAGCAGAGCAGAAAATGCTAAAACATGTTAAGCCTCTTACTATTGGTACTACCTGTTCCAGGAAAAACTCTATTAAGATGACATTTACTTTCATCATGTTTTTAAAATAACCATGCCATATATCTTATCAAAAGAAGGTGTACTATAAAATTTTCAAGCAGAGGTATAAATATTTCTTTTGATTAACTTCCATGACTTTATTGCATGCAGGCTGTTTAGTAGTTACTGTTAGTTTTACAAATAATGTAATGCTAGAAACTTGACATACATGTACTATTAATATGCATTCTGAATGCTGAAGAATCATAATTTGGTTTGCAATTTATTCATGGGCAGCAAGAGAACAGGTGAACATACTTGTAACATGTGCAATGGTGAGAAAGTTAAGAAAAATTGGAGATGTCATTTGTATACTTTAAGTGTACGTTTTAAGATGAGGAAAATATAACAGCTCTAAAGAACGGAACATGCTGCAGGCATCCTTGCACTTAGTGACTTACGGCCCCAGCATGGTTGTCTATGTTGGGAAATTTCTTGAGTAGATATTTGAAGGCCGACTCCAAACTTTTATCAGAGAGAAACGGTGGTTTGCTGTCGGTGTTCGTAAGCATCTTTAAACCGAAAAGAAATACAGAAAACACAGTTAAAACACACTCTGAAAACCTTGTCGACTTACTGTGGTAGATTTGCTGTCTGGGTGGGGAAATCGTCTCATTAGGTATCTGTAAACTGGTTCATATGTTTTATCAGTAAGAAAACCTGGCTTGTTAGCGGGATTTCCAAGCATCTTAAAAAGACGAAAAACAAATACATGGTGATTTATTTCACGACATAACATAAATTCTATAACATTTACACTCTATGATTTGTTAGTTATATACACATAATATTATTGGTTATATAGAATAGACATTTCTTAAGTACTATACAAAATATAGATTTAACATTGTGACATTCTTTCAGTAGGGTACCAGTTCATATTCTGCAACTCAGTGACATTTTGCAGCATCTAGAACACAAATATCGGTACATGTATATGCAGCAAATAAACAAATTACTAGATGAAATAAAAACAATCCTATGCAGAATCAATTAAATTTCAAATGTAGAATAATATGAAAAATGAAGTAAAATCTGGTAGATTGAAAATCTTCATATATTGGAAAAAACTTCAAGGAATTAGGAATTCAATGCAATATATTGAAATTATGGAATTTGGACTTTGGAAGCATCATTCTTGTGCACTCAGCAAGGATTCAACCTGGGTGATTTGTAAAGCTTGGTTTGCATATGTACTGGATTTAAAGGAAAAGGGATATGCACAGTCTAAAATTAACCATGATTAACTGCAAACTTTTTTTCATATTTTAGAAATTAATCATTATAATGTTTTTACTAGTTTTTACTTAACATCCACTGTCCTAAATAAGGGATCACATTATTTAATGATTTTCAACTTTAAAAAAATAGTACATATTAAATTCTAATATTCATATTCTCCAAGTAACTTTCTACTTCTATTGCCAAAATTTATCATTTACCAGTATGTCAAATAATTTGACTTTCAATGTAAAATTAATCAACTCATATACATGCTGCTGTGACTTAAATTAGTAAATTCTGCAGCTTGTGTGAAACTCAAATGGCAGCCTATTTTCTTCTTTTAAACATTTAAAAATCTGAAAGGAAAAATTTTTTCAAAAAAAAAAAAAAAAATCCAAAGAAAATATTCAATTAGTTCATGCAAGTAAACCAAAATGAGGAGAGATAGAACCTTCTTTTTGTTGGTAGAGTATATCTGAAAATAAAAAACATCACACAGAGTAATGCTTGTCTAATGACTGGAAGAGGTCTTCTACAAAATAAATGCACATTACATTTTTCAATTAAATATCTAATTACCATGATTACTGTAATAATGTATATGTATATTTTTTCATATGGATAACTTTTCTTTTTAAAAGGAAAAAAAAAAACATTCATTCATCAAGCACTTTCAAAATGAAGAAATCAAATTGAATGGACATGAATTTTGGCCAGTTCTATACACATTGATGTTTACATGAAGCAAAAATGAAGGAAAAATTCAATAAGTACATGAGAAAGGAATATCAATTTTAATGCATGAATAAAAAAAAAAATTGAACAGTCACAAAAAAACTCAAGAAACTAATCACTGACAGGACACGGGAAGGACTTTATGCTAGTTAATAGAGATCGAGCCATCACGGAAAATAGGACAATCGTACTTACCGACATCTGCAATGGCAGGGGAGATAAGTCAGTATTAATTCTTAGCCAGTACCAAAAAATGATTTTCATTTAATAATTAATTCAACATTAAATTTCAATTATAACTTCAACAAATGACGATTTGAAACGTTGTTACAATAATGATTAGTCTTTATATTTAAGGTAAATGTACACTAAGTTGGCATATTTTATGTCTCAAATTAAGCTACAAGCTATTTTTTTAAATTTAATAAATGGAATCAGCTGATTGATCAAACAAAGTTTTGCCATTTGTCAGAAAAAAAATCCACCCGGGGATAATTTGAATGGGATTTTCGGGTTACAGGAAACAAACATATTTTTTTTTTAGGCCTTATCATTATGATAGTGGAAAGCTCTCTCAAAGAATAAGTTTATGTCCCAACAAACTCATCAATTTAAAACATGTGCAAAACCTGTATCTAAAAAACTTGTATTCCATGATTTTGCCTGAAAAAAAAATTCTATAGCCTTCAGTCTATACACAGCAAATTACATGTGTGGTTTGACGCGCCTGATATAAGCTGAATAAATAGCTGCGCTTGCCCAAATGGTTGCACCCTCAACATATCATTTTGTGATATAGGTGATTTTAAAAATGGTGTGAATGTGATAAAAAGATTTTCTTGAGTTCAATAGAGTTATTTATATGTATAGTAAGGGGATATATATAATCCACATGATCAATGTTTAGATACCATAAAACCAATTTTATACACCATTTTATTTCCAATGTTTACGAATATTGTAGTTTTCCTAAAGGTTAAGATCTAATTACATGATTAAAAATTTGCTTTAGATCGATGATCATTCTTAAAATACTTAAAACATAATTAAGAGGAAATTCGAGTCCAACTGACCACACCTTTTTGATGTTGTATATTCTTGTCAGCATGCCCCTTCCTCTGTCATTTAGGATCGTCAACTTCTCCGCCAACTTTTGTTGGCTGGGTACCATCGCACGAGACATCTTGTCTTTTCTAAGTTTGTAAAAACAAAAAATAAAAATGTCACAATGTTTTCATCCTCATTCTATTTTTGTACACTTCCTGCAAATTTTACTTCCGGTTCTTCACCATTAAGATCAGTCTAAAATACGCAAAGGAAGAGATTCTAAATAGGACTTTCGAAAAAAACGCCAATATCTTAAAAATTATTGCAAAAATACAATATACTCTTCCAAAATATTCTGTTTAAGATACAATAAAATTATAGCAAGGGAATATTAATATTAATTATCATGAAAATATTAACAAAAAATTGAACCCGATCTAAAATTTTCATGCTTTTCAAGGAAACCAAACCATCTTAAATTTGAAAGCTTTTTAATTTTCTCCTATATAAAAACAAATATTATCATGGTTTCAAATTTTCTACCTTTGTTTTGATGTATAGTAATAGCAGGGGGGATGAGGGGATACCTCAAAGCTTAAAAATTATAAATGAATATGTTGTCAGTGTACGAACTATAAATCCAATTACATTCAATAAGGCAATTCATAACTTTGCTTCAATGAGATGAATATTTGTTCTTTGTGAAAACCTATTACATTGCCTGGTACTTCTCACTGCATGTAACTTTCACTTTAGCTATCAATTTCAATCACACATTTTTTCTTCTTTCAAATATACATGTATATGCATGTGTATGTTCTGTTCATGTGAGGTTTGTAAATCAAAATTTTGTAGAACTATATAGGCATTGTTTGGCAATAAATAAATGGGACAAACCAGTGGAAATTTTTTGTGAATATATTTGTTGATTTAAAGGGATCAAGAACAATCTTCCCCTTACTCTCGAGTCTCATTCTTTTCTCCTGAGAGCTGACATATTGTCTAGAAATAAATATGTGAAAAACAACAGGTCAAAAAAATTAATTAAAACACACACATCAAACTTTAAAAATGTAGTTTTATTTCATTCTATACATGTATCACATATAAAAGGTTTTTGTCTGCCTACACGAATTCATCCATCTCAATAAGTTACAGTTATAAGTATTTTACAAATAATTGGTGATTATTGAGTCTTGTTCCAGGAAACACATCATGACAGTGAATTCATGTTATTTATAAATTAACACATCTTCAACAGATATCAAACAGTAGAATTTTGAAATAAAATATTGATAAAAGGCTGAATTGACATACCGGGTATATCAAATGGGTTTAGATTACATGAAGTTAAAAATGTTAATGGTATAATACTTGTTTTTAAGTTTTTACACTGGTTCACTTTACATAAAAAAGTATCAATGTAATTTAACTTTACAGACAGCATTAAAAAATTCTCACATGCATGTCCTACATGTATCTATTAAGTTAACAGAACAAAGGAAAAACCCACTTGACCATGATTAAAGAAAAAATTAAGATATTCAAAAATATTCAAAATAAAAGAAATCCTACAAAAGAAGGGAAAATAAGGCCTATTTTAAGGAGATTTTTAAAGTTTACTTTTAATTCTTTTCAAAATTATCATATAAACTAAATGCAAAAAAATAAATGCAGATTAAAATTGACAAAGTTATCAACAAAATTAACATGCCCCAACCACACCTTTGCCTCACAAAAAAATACACTAGTTTGTATAATCTATGTGTACATATATGTACATTTAAGTGCAAATCCTTTCTTGTTGTGATTAAATTATTATTAAATGTAGAATTACAAACAAACTCCCATCACTCAGAAGATGCATCAACAACTTTGCACATGATAATAAAATAACAAAACATTCATACTCAGCATTTGAAAGAAAAATATGATGTGACCTTTTTCTTGAATAACAACCTTAAAGCTAACAAATTAACAAAAAATAGTCTAAACAGTTAATACATATATAGATGACCAATATAAATTTCTGAATGGACTACCTTCTTTTTCTAAAATGCAGCCATTTCAAATACACTGATATAAAAAAATTGAAATTTTTAGAAATTCAATATACGTAATTTGATTTTTTTTCTCTATTGAATAAATTAAGGGTTATAATTATATGACAACACTGGGTTAAGAGAAAAGATGTCCAATTTAAAAAGGGAGCATGACAATTTTTTTTCAGCTTTAATTAAAAAAGTCTCATCACTCATGTGAGACTTCCATAAATTTTGAAATTATTAAACAATGATACAAGTACCGGTACATATACTACACTATGGAAAGAAAATTACTGAATAGAAATTATTCTAAAAACCCTGTCCATATAAAAGAAAAAAATACGTAAATTCCACATCCCAATTAAGATACAATTTTTTTTATTAATGAAGAAAAATACGAGATAAAAGTTAAGCTGACTGAAATTGAAAATGACCACTTCTCTTCTAAAAACTTATTAAATGCACATCTAACAATAACGCATGATAAAAAAAAATGCAGAGGTAAGTTATTGCACAATTATTAAACAAACATCAACAATTTTTGTCATTCTGAGGAACTACACAAATACTCGTACAAATGTACTTTTATCAGTACAAACATGTAATGTTATAAACTAAATTCAAAAATGATATAGCTAATTTGATGAAATATAATATGATGAACTACACAATATTTAACATCCAGAAAATTTAATTTAAAACTTGGTTTACAATTTTATCTTCTGAAATTTTGTACACTGCTATTAATAAACTTTCAGCAAGTACATAAAAGGTATCCATACTTCAATTTTTGTATTAATATTAATGATTATTCAAAAACATACTCTCAGTTGGCACAATAATTACATGTGTCATTAGTCAAGTGAAGTAAGTAAATATATACATGAATGCATGTATATTAAATGTATTTTTTACATTATTTATACAAAATGCACCTTTGTTCATAAATCAGACCCATCTGTATTAAATGAGGTCTATGGTCTACAAAGCTCACCTGACTTCCTAACATAAGTCACAGACATTTATAAACTTTTCAATAATATTTTTAAGATGACATATCTAATAACCTGTTAAATTAGTTAGCAATTTTTTCACATGCTCTTTCAAATTCTAGTATGTTTTATCTAAAATTACTTGCGAAAACTTTGAAATATGAAAGCACTGAGCACATTGGGGAAAAAATCTGAAAGTTTACTAACAAAAACATTTGAACTAGAATCTACACTACCTTAATGATTCCATATAAATATCACTAATCATGGCTTTGAAGTACTTGAAAAGAAGATTTTAAATATATTGGTTTCCCAATATATCCCTATGTAAAACTTGGGTCGGCCATTTTGGCCCCACCCTAGCCCCAGGGGTCATCATTTGAACAAACCTGAATCTACACTACCTATGGATAATTTCACATGAGTTTTATCTATCCTCTCTCAATGGTTCTTGAGAAGAAGATTTTTAAAAGATTTTTCCTATATCTTTCTATGTAAAACTTGGGTTGGCCATTTCGGCCCCGCCCTAGCCCCGGGGGTCATGATTTGAACAAATTTGAATCTACACTACCTCAGGATGATTCCACATGAGTTTTATTTTTCCTGGCCCAGTGGTTCTGGAGAAGAAGATTTTTTAAGATTTTTCCTATATATTCCTATGTAAAACTTGGGTCGGCCATTGTGGCCCCACCCAGCGTTTTCAGTAACTATTTTAAAAGCCATACCATAAGCCAAAATTGGAGGCTGCTGTTTTCTAGAAACTTTCACTTTGAAAACAGTAATAGCTGCATGTTCTTCAATCTTTACTAAATGATTTACATTGTATGTCAAAGTGGTGAAGAATAGCTGTATTTTTCAAAAAAGAAATGAATACCCTACACATGAAAAAGGAAGTCTACCCCACTGAGAGGACAGATTTTGATCAGAAAAATTACTAAAATCTTTGGCTACATTGAGCTAACAATGGCATTTTGAGATCTGCTTTTACAGATGATATTACTGTATCTATATGAACAAGAGGCCCACGGGCCTTATAGGTCACCTGAGTATCGTGCAACAACTTTCAAACAATTAAAATTGGTTCGTGTTTCAAACCAGAGGCCATGAAATTCACAATTCACAATTTTGAAAGAGGCACCATTGCTTATCATAATTATAAACTTAGCATGCTTACTCCATTTACCTAATACCCAGATGTAGATCAGAGTAACAAAGAGAAAATGCACTTCCACTTTATAACTAGTTGTGCACCTCACCCTAAAGGAACCACTGACCCTGGGGCCACATATTTCAAAATTTTGCAAATTTTATCAGAAAATGGTTGATTAATACTAAAGAGCAGATTTCAAAGCATTAATTTATTTTCAGACTATGAACACCCCCCCCCCCCCCGACCCAGGGGGCATAAAAAATAACAATTTTGCTAGATGCACCTTTCTTCATCATAAATATATATACTTGGATCATTGGCATAAAACCCAGGAGCAAAGGAAAAGATTTTCAAAGAATTAATGCATTTTCACTATATAATCAATAGAGCCTCGCCCTAATACCAGAACCCCTGACCCTGGGGCCATAAAATTCACAATTTTGGAAGTGGCACTCTTGCTCATCATAACTATGTGTTTAGTTAGTTCATTTAATACCCAGAAGCAGAGAAGAAGATTTTCAAAGAATAAATGCATTTTCACTATATGATCAATAGAGCCCCGCCCTAACACCAGAACCCCTGACCCTGGGGCAATAAAATTCACAATTTTGGAAGAGGCACTCTTGCTCAACATAACTATGTGTTTAGTTAGTTCATTTAATACCCAGAAGCAGAGAAGAAGATTTTCAAAGAATTAATGCATTTTCACTATATGATCAATAGAGCCCCGCCCTAACACCAGAACCCCTGACCCTGGGGCAATAAAATTCACAATTTTGGAAGAGGCACTCTTGCTCAACATAACTATGTGTTTAGTTAGTTCATTTAATACCCAGAAGCAGAGAAGAAGATTTTCAAAGAATAAATGCATTTTCACTATATGATCAATAGAGCCCCGCCCTAACACCAGAACCCCTGACCCTGGGGCCATAAAATTCATAATTTTGGAAGAGGCACTCTTGCTCAACATAACTATGTGTTTAGTTAGTTCATTTAATACCCAGAAGCAGAGAAGAAGATTTTCAAAGAATAAATGCATTT